TCGGGATTTAGGTGACGACTAAGGGAATTTGACGACTTACAAGCGGCGAGTTACACAAGGAATTTTAAAGGAAACATCATTAGGAAAAATCGGGACTTTTGTTTGAGCGTCGACTTGTGCACATTGACGAGTTACAAGACGGCGACTTTTTTTTTTTCCAGTTTTACTGTATTACCGGCGTGAAGAATGGGCGTGATCAACGTGCTACTTTTCCTGTCAGACATACTGCGTTAACATGCTAATTCTAGGCTTGGGTTCCAAGTGTCTATTGATGTTTCTTAGTCAGTCTCTGACCAAAGCAGTGACATAGCGCCCCAGAGGTCGTGCTACCATGTGCTGCCAGTCTCATGCAGTGTTACTTTCTGGTGACTAACTGTGTTATCGTGCCAGCCACAAGACACTGGCTCATTGGGGCATCCAAAATCACAGATGACCCACATAAAACGCTCTGCAGGTGACTCTTGCCCACTCTTTAGGTTGACTGCCTGTTAGAAACACATGTATTTCATCCTCGTCTCTCACTGTATGCGTTGCCTTCATGAGGATTACACAGACTTGAAGGGTATAAATGGAATCCATTTCCTTGTGGGCTACATTGGGCTCCATGTGGGCGGTACACACAGAGAATGTGTTATTTGCATCTCTGCAAGCCAGGACCCTCCTACACGTCTGTCCACTCAGATACATTTTGTCCCTGCTAAGGTTCTCTCCATTCTCACGAGTGCCTCTATGAATATTTCAATGTGTGACAGTTGTTTCTACCACTCTGGTTTCGCCAAGATTTGGCACCCATTTGTCACATACGAGACCGTTAGCCTTTCTCTTGTCATATTCGACAGACTGAGATGACTGTAAAACTCAAAACTGCAGGCTACACTCAATCAGCGAGTATCCGAGCACCAGATCCATAGAAAAACTCACTCAGAAATGTCTGGAATGTATGGAATGATGCAGTGAACAAGAAGACAATGAATCCAGAAGATCTATGAAAGACAATTTACATTCATAAAACAGAAACAATCGTAAGTGTCACTTGATGAGTTGTTTAGCACATTCTGCTACTCCGAGGGTACTGTGCTTATCCTACCTTCTTATTTCCACAAACAGTTGGGTTAAGCAGCCACCATGTAATTACAGACAACAGCAGTATACCTCCTGAGATGTGAACCCTCACCCTGTTTTTGACTTACCAGTACACTCTATGACATCTTGCATAACCTACTAGAGTCTGATGGTCCTTAATCAACACTATACTATCAGCCTGCCCAAATACAGAAGATTTCATTTACATTCTAGTCGGTCTGGACATGTTGTTCATTGGGGATTCATTTCCTTACTCTCACAAAAACAGTGTTTTCCTTACAAAAATGAATTCTTCAAGTTTAAGCAGACATCTCAAAGTAATCCAGTGCTCCCTAGGTGCACTATCTTACATTGTAGTGTTACACCTTAAACTACACCGTGTCCCTGTTTAGACCATTCTTCCTAAAACCCCAGAGCAGGCCAAATGTAGTCACGGTTTGACATATTTTTTGAAGTACTTGAGCAGCCTGTGACTAAATGTTCTTATGGCAAGGACTCTTTACAAATCATGCAGGGCTTTTTTTAATAACAATGTCGCTCAGGAATAAAAACACTGCTGTCAGAGCAAAGACAATGTGCAAGTCTCATTTCCAATATCTCAGTGGTTAAATAGGTGACAAAGGTGGATGGGGGGGTTCATGAAAAGGATGAGGGGGCTGTCTCCTTCCAGGGGACTAAATTCAAGACAAAACAAACCCATTGTTTAACAGGGCTACATAGCTGATGGACCAATTACAGGCTGGAGCCTCCTTCAGTTTGAAATGTCTAATAATAGCACACCACATATTGCAGACTTTCAGTGCTCACAGGCGACCTTGCTGGCTGGATTGGCCAAAAAATCAACTGAAGCTGAAAGATCCCTCATCTCTATTTTTAACTACATCTGATAATGCAACAGGAGATAGACAACAGCATCTTGCATTTGCATGGCAACTCCGAACACACAAACAGAGTTATTAGTTTGAGGCAAAACAGACTAAGCCACAGCCCAGGGGCACTGAGGAGCCACTCAGACGCAGCGCATGGCAATGGAAGAAAACCAGACACCATTAGAGAATGAAAGCGTATCTATAAAACAATTCAGCAATTTTCGTTTAAGCCAAGGGAACTAAAAAAACAGCAACCTGCGAATTAGCCTTGTCGTGTTCACTGTGCAGTGCACCAAGGACAGAAACAACAATAGGGTTACATTTTCCAATGATTTACTTTGATTTGTCTAGACAGATCATAAGCAGCAATCCTTATAGCACGTCTACAGTGCATCTCCATTAGCGTCAGAGATCCTAGCTGGTGTCAGATGAATCTCTCCCTTGTGTTCATGCCTAGTTATTCCCAAATCCATCCTTTCATTTAAGGCAGCTATGCTTCAAAATAAAATCAAGGTAAACCGAAAGAATGAAGCAAAGCCTGTTCTACATCAGTAGTACCCATGATCATTGTACCACTGTGCAAATCTTTAAATGCCATGTCTTAGACAAGTAAGACTTCGAAACATCTCAAAACATAATCAATTTTGTGGAACATTCCCAAGATGTTCCCAAATCTGATATATTTACACAGATTTTTTCCATTATGTTTCCATAAATTACCAATTATACCCAGAAGTGATATGTGTTTGTTGAATATTCCCAGACATTCCCAAATCATCCCAAATATAAAAGATTTAGATGGAACTTCCCCCAGTATAATGAAGTGAAAATAACTTGGACTCCATGCTATGTTAATGAAGGTTTGGTGCATTTAACATGACAGGCTTCAAAGTAAATAAATTAAACTTTCTTTTTGAAATAATTGATAAATTATGTGTGGTTTATATTTAATATCTAATTATTGCTGCTATACTTCTCCAGCTTGTGAATGAAATACATGCATTTACTGACAGCTCAGTGTGTTATTTAAGCACTCTGCAACACCCTGCATATAGTTATAGACATAACCTTTGTAAAAGGGGAGATTTCACTATGTTAATATTACATGCTCTGCTCTTATCTATTTCTCAGGAGGCTTTGGGCACATCATCATCATTACATCAAATTACTATTCATGCATGACTCCCAGCCTTTACCTTGCTGCCCACTTTCCCTCTACTGTAAGTCCCTACCTGGTGAGCAGACTGCAGGATGCTGCGTGTCACCTTCTCTGGGTCCGGCTCGCTGTCCTGCTCCAGCTGGCTTTTCCTGCAGGACTTGCAAAGGTACGAGAGCCAGCAGAGAGTAAGCACACCAGACAGGCTGCCCAGAGTGGCCCCCAGAACCACAGCGGTGCTGAAGATCATGCTGGATGGATGGGGAGAGAGATGTGGCAGGGTCACTGTGTCTGGGGTCCTATGGAAACACGCCGTTCTGGTGGATACTCTGGGGAGGGTGGAAACGCCGTGGGGGGTGCGCAGCAAGGATGCTCAGGCTCCTCTGCCTCTCACTCTCTGAGAGTGACTCAAGTGAAGTCTCTTCTCCGTGTGTGCTTAAAGGCAGTGTGGAGGAACAGCAGCTCGGGCGGGAGGAGAGGAGGGAGTGGGGGCGGGACTTGCTCACTGTCTGGTCCCGCTAATGAGGCTTGTGCAGAGGGAGACCACATCCACCGCTTCCACCCATCTCACCCCCCTCGCTATCTCAAGGCCCCTGAGACAATGACGCGCTGGCTGACCTGCTACTAGTGCCAATTGACATCTGTAGATTCTGACAGAGATAGATACACAGCAGTCTGGACGCTCTCTCCCCTCACGTTCAGCTCCTCTCAAAGGGCAACTATAAAACCTGACATTTCAAAAGCCTCCTAATGATAGTCATCCACTGATTTATCACCTACAGAATGAGAGGCACTTACTGTAACATACAAAGCTAAATCTGACTATCTTATTTGCCCTCGATATAACTAAACGTTTCATTTTAAGCAATCCTGCTCTTTAGGTGCTATGAACAGTACATTACAGTATATATTTAAATAAAGGTTCTCGCAAAGTATGAAATGAGCACACATCAGAATATTTGCCTTGATTTATTTCACAAACACTTTGACCCAAGTGGTGTACAAGTGAGGCAGATAATATCAAACAACTAGAGTTGGGGTGCTTGAGGCCAGGCTCTGAGTCCTCATATTGTTCTTCATTCATTTGTTTTGAAAAGCACTGTAAAAATCTAAATTATTATTATTATTATTATTTCATCCATCCATTTTCTGAAACCGCTTATCCGATTCAAGGTCATGGGGGTATAAAGCCTATCCCAAAGACTACAAGCGCAAGGCAGGGAACAACCCAGGATGGGGCACCGACCCAGTTATTATTATTATTTGCTTTCAGTATGACTATTTTTCTGTACAACTTTAATTTTTTATGTCTGTTATCATATCCCTACTTTAAATGTCATTCTGCTGTCACTGTTTATATATATACCTTGCATGTGACAAATAAAACCCCTGAATCCTATTATTATTATTATTACATATAAATTAATTTGCAGCATATGACTGCAGCCAATCCCCTCCCCAACTGTTATATTAGTGTAGTGATTTTACGGCATTTTTCAGACACAGGAGTCCTAACGCATTTAAAAACACCACCTTCTCATTATGACTAAACGCATTAAGCATTACATAGCAACACACTGTTATCCACATGCTTAAATGAAGTTACTGGGCCACACTGAAACCAATGATGTTAAGTTTGCTTATGGCACCTACACCTAGACAGTTGTTAAAATAATGTAACTAGATGACTGGATAAATTGAGACGATGCAAGCAAGCAAGTTTCAATGCATTGAATTCATTCTATGTATCAAGCAATGGATTGAGGGGCTTTATGGAATCTAGCTGGGGACACATATATGCAGAAAGAACATACTGTAGCAAGTAAAGTCAGGCACACTATCACAGGTAATGCAGCTAATGTGAAGTGTGCATTTACAGTCAAGTTACCACAGGAGCAACCACAGTGGTAACAGGGATGATGGGGAAGATGGAAAATGAGAGTCTTTGGGAAGATGTGTTGGGGACGATGAGAAAGTCCTGTTTAGAACACGGCACAGATCTCCCTTTGTGTTTGACAAATCATTTATTTCTTAGTTGGAATTACGTAATGGCCATTTTAAATAAATGATTTTAAATAAATATAAACTGTCACGCCCTGCTCCGTCCGCTCCTGATGTGTGCCACGCCCCCTCCTTATCCACGTGTGCTTTCCCGATCGTGCCCAGCTGTTCCTTGTTAGTTTGGCTTGTCTGCTGTATTTAGTCCGCGTCTGAGTCTGTTACCCCAGATCCGTCATTGATGTTTGTTGGTGTCTCTACCCTGTTGTCTGGAATAAACCCCGTTTGCCTGCACTCTCGGCTTGCTTCGCCTGCTTCCCGGTTCGCTCGCTCACCTACTCCAACATAAACATTTTAAGTATTTGTTTATTGTTCCATTTATAATTTTTTAATTTAGATTCATGGTCTGGAACTGAGCTTGCGTTTTCCCAGATTCGGCTACCCAGCCCCAGTAATGGACTAGGTTGTGTCTCAGACACGGTATTTTTCGAAGTTTCACAGTATACTACGGTATTTTTTTTTAAGTATGACTGGCTGTTTACCACATTGTACAGGATTTTACAGGACACATTTCTGTTTTACGTTTTTGTATTGTTCCCACATTAACTATATTATTTTATTATTAGTCATTGCGCCTATCCGCTACCTTAATGATAACATACGGCTAACGTGTTTGTTGGCTAACTGCTTATAGATTAGCGGCTAATGTTAAGGTGTGCGCCGGCCAAGTTAACATTTTTGATAAGTGTTTAATAGTTCAATGTTGCTGGAACACCAGCTTTACTGACGCTGTGTGTGACGAATGAGGCGAAAACCGTCTCGTGCAGGGAGCAAGAGGGATTGTCCATAATGGATGTAAGTATGGCCACCATCCTTCTCCGACCCACGTCCGCAGTGGAGTCCAAAGAGCAGCACAGAACAGAACCAGCACTCCTGACCATCTTATCAGTCTCTTCCTGTCCCTCTCTGAGCTCCCGCATCCCCAGCAGACCACCGCGTAGAAGAGAGCAGATACTGTGTCCTAAAAAGTCCTTAGCAGCGTCTTGCACAAGACCTCAGTCTTTTCAGCAGGTCGAGATGGCTTTGGCATTTCTTATACAGGGCATCTGTGTTACGTGACCAGTCCAGTATGTTGTTGATGTGAACAACCAGGTATTTGTAAACAGACACAACCAATGGAGCAGGAAGATGATTGCATCCTACACTCCAATACCCAGTCTATATGCAAACTAAAGAGGGTCTTGGGTATAGGCATGACATAGGAGGTCTTCCACAGGGTAGGGACTCTATCCAAACTGAGGCTGCAATTGAAAATGTGCAGAATGACCCCACATGCATTAAGGCTGGACAATTCATCCAATTTTAATTTTAACTACTATTTTGGCTTCAGACTGTTTCCAACCCCTTTTTATTTGTTTCTCAGTTAAACTATATTTAGAGGTCAATGAAATCCACTGTCCACTTGTCTCTTCATTGATTGGTCATTCTTGAAAACCCTCCTCATGTGCTGCACTCTGCTGGCCATATGGGCAGTGGGATCTGACTGCCCCTACTGACCATTTTCATATTCTCTGTGTATTGCCTTAAACTTGCCAAAGAAGCAGCAGTTTCCAGCATCATCAACTAAACACCTGTATTCATTTAAGGTAAAATGATTCTTATAAAACATACCACCCTGTTTCTCCTGTAAGGCTCTCTGACATTGTACCTTTATGGGGAAATGCCTACTCATATCATTTGCAGAACACTTTTAAACTACAGTCAATCCATGCATCATTCTTCTACCCTCTGTTCTTGATCAGAGTCACGGGGGTTCCTGGAGGGGGTCCCAGGCAGCATAGTGCTCAGGGTTAGGTTACATTTGACAATGCATGATTTAGCTAAACAACTGAGAAAAACAGGACAATACAGCACTGCCCCCTTGGGACCTTAATCTTCTAGTCACACGGCCAAATGAGCCAATTATATGACTAAACTCAATTTACTCCTCAATGTATTTTCATGGAAAAATGTCTGTGCTGAACTGACATCACACCCAGGGTATTTCCTGTGTAGGCTCCAGGCTCACACAAACCTGCACTGGACAAGTAGTAATGGTAAATGGCAGGGTGAATGATCACTTTTTGTTTTGCACAAAAAAGGAACATATAATTAAAAATATTACAATTCACATATAATAGAAATGCTACAATAGAATTCTCTCTTTGGTATAGCAGTCTTAAAATATTATTCTGTTATGTCACCAAATGTAGGCTATATCTCGAGCCATAGACCATTTGGGAAATTCTAAAACACGATAATAGACATTTATCAAAAATGATTCGTTTCGTATTTAATCGGCCTTCCCCAATAATGCATATTTATGACATGGTCTTAAGATGGTCTTAATTTTATTCATGTGCTGCATCTGCTAAAAAAAATTAAAAGGAAAAAAACGTTGCTGTAGTGTAAGAACAACTCGAACGTGAATAGGTCTGATAAGGCTTGCGCTGCGATCCAGTGACACACAGTCCATGTGCGGACTGTTTGATAACAAAGCGGCGTGCAGCCCCGCCTGCATGGAGTGGGAGGTGCGGGGAGGAAGAGGACAGTAGAGGAGGAGGAGATGATGATGAGGATGAGCGGGGGAGGGGTTTGTTGTGACCGGGAGTATCCTGCTTCCAAGATGGCGGCGTCCATGGAGTTTAGCTTGGAAGATCTGCCTTCGGATCCTTTGCTGCTAATTTTGTCCTTCCTTGATTTCCGGGACCTGATCAGGTAGGCACTTGTCTCGGCTTGCCTGGCGCGTCTAGTTGCTCGTCGGAGTGGACGCGGCCGTAGGGACTGGTGTTAGCACGGCGCTAGGTGCTGCGTTAGCGCCCCAGCTCCTTTCCTCTTGTTTTGAAACATCTCGGGCGTTTTGATTAATTATCCATGGAGCAAGAGGGTTGCTTAAATGGTGTAGCGCGGTGTCCGTGCGGATCGTTGCTATAAATCGAGGCCATGTTTATACTGCTGGTTGGGGAGCCGATTCCTGTGGACTAGCTCATGTCGTCACCCTGTCCGCTGCTAGATATCACACATTCACCCACCATTAACGGCTAAACTAATGGCATACCCAGTGCCTGCTGCCCCGTCTTTTAAATGTGATTGTATTTCGTCTCCGCTCACGTCAGTTTGTTTCTGTATATTTATTTGGCCGATCTGCTCCCCTCTTGACTTTACTGGTTGATTTGTATTAGATTGTGTAAAATCGGTGTAAACACCCACGGAGCTGGGTCTCTAGCCGTATTATAACCCCGTCAGTTGTCGTGAGTGACTACAATCCGTGCATTTTCACCAAAACGTCTGTGGTTTCACTATGGTCCCCTACTATGTCTCAGCTGCAGTTATGTCAGCCGCCGCCTCCACGGCCTGTCCGGACACAACCCGCTGTGGAAAGGACTCTGTCAGAAATACTGGCTGTTATCCGAGTAAGTGGCCAACCAGTAGTTCTCTTCTGTTTTCTCTGGCCTGTACTACGAAGCAGGGTTACTGGTTTATCGGGGTAACTTGTCGGATTTAAGGTACCACAGTTTAAATGGACTTAATATTCGTTCACTTACATTTTGCCCAGACTACCTTAACTGAAATCCGACAAGCCAGTAACCTCGCTTCGCAGTACAAGCCACTGATCTTACCTGCATCTGCTTATCTTTTTATTTCTCAGTGGAATACCGGACCAGTCCACTAGGTGGCCTAGTTTTGTGCGAGCAATGACCTTACGAACTCTGTCATGTATTTTGACTTGTTTTTCCAGCAGTCGCCACAGTGCAAAGTGAAACCAACTTCTGGGGCCTGTACTACGAATCGGGGTTACTGGTTTATCGGGGTAACGTGTCTGATTTAAGGTATTCTCTTAAATCCGACAAGTTACCCCGACAAGCCAGTAAACACGCTTCGTAGTACAGACCACTGGTTTTGTTAAAGCTTTGTCACTTATTTAAGTTTTTTAAAAATTATTATTTAAACCTTTATTTTACCAGGCAAAGCATTAAGAACAAATTCTTATTTACAATGCCAGCCTTGTTACACATTTTGGCCAATTTTTAGTTGACAGAAATAAAGGTAACTGTTGTTGATATTGTAACACACAGCACTACAAGATTGAGCAAGCATACACACCTACTCCTTCCCTTTGTGTCCATGTGAAAAGGTATAAGGGCACTTTTGCACTGCACCAGACACCAAAGTTTTGGTGCTAACAAATCAGCACCCTTTCTGGTTTTCTTTTTCCATTGATTTCTGGTTCTGGCTCAGTACCAGTACTAAAGTGCCAAACCTACTGTGGTACTCCTTTACGTATTTTGAGGTGGGACTTGCAAACATGTTCATTGTTGATTGATGTTCTGTCTTTGAAACACAGAATACAACCACCATCATGAAAAATTGTATGTACTTAGAAAACATTGATAAAGTTAAAAAAAAAGAAATCATAATGGATGGGTGGAACAATGAAGAGACCAGGGCTTTAATTGCAATCTGGTCGGGAGAACAGATTCAACAAAATGTTTCTTCAACACATCCTAGCCACCAATTATCATCATATGCAGCCACGACATAACCTTTGCTGCTTGCAAAGTCAAGTGATTCCCTCAGTGTGCACTTACACTGGACCGATTTGCACACCTCACTCACCTCTGACGAATGCAGGGCATTTATTAGCCATATTTACTAGCCAAATGGGCCTTTTTAATAGTATGGCAAGTACAGGTGTCTGCAATGACATTAATGAAGCTTCCATTAAATTTCATTCTAGCATATTTGTAACCTTAATTAATATTATTCCTTACACCGGTGCTTGTTATACTATTTCATGTCAGTTTGGCTGCCATTAAAAAGGCCCATCAGTGATATGAAACCATGTGATGCTACCTTTTAAGTCAAGATATCTCAGCAACACCTTTAAAAAAAAAAAAAGACCAAATTTTCTGGTGATGTTCAAGACATTATGATATAGTTTTAGTAAAAAATTGATCAATTTTGAAATATGTTTTTTTCGTTATTGAATTTTTAATATTTTAATTGGTTTTTACATAGTAATTATTCATATGGGGATGGCACATTATTTGTTCAATCTATAGAGCGGACATTAGCTTTAAAACAATATGAAGACCACTTCTGTGCAGCTTACATTAAGGTAAAAATATCCAGTCAAAGTCATAGCCCCCCCCCTCAAAAAAAGTTAAAACTTTGTTCACTTTAAATCTCCCTCAGTATTGATTCCAGATATGCCCATTTTCAGTTTCATGAGTTACTCATGTGACCAAATCAGCATGCCAAATTTAGTAAAAATTTGTGACGATGAGGTCCGAAAGTGTGATGACTTGACATGGAATGATCCAATTTCCTTTCCTATGACACAGTAAAAATGTTTTAGCAGAACTTAAATCCTCCCTGCTCCCAGCATATTTTATCACCAAGATAAACCAAATAACATTGTTTTGAAAATGCCATATGCTGCAGTATAATGTCCAGATATTATGAAGGTATGAAAAAGTTCTCTGGTCTCAACCCAGCTAACTATCCTTTCAATGTATAAATTGCATGTGCATTATAGGAAATATCGATATTAATATAGCACAGCACCCGGCCCTGCAATATACTATAATAGTGTGTTTGAATTCAGCACAAAACACCCCCCTTGTGTTGTAATGATGTCATTCTGCACCAGTACTAGTGTTTCAGGCCAGTGGAAAATGAAAACAAGAAGTACGATTCATTTGGGTGCTGTTTTGAAATGGTAAAAGTTTGGTACCCGGTGTAGAGGAAAACTGCCCTAAGAGGCTCAGTCAGTAGATGAGCAGGTTAAAGCCAGGTGAATTCTCTGTTGTCTTTTTTAAAGACATTAAAAGAGTAATATTACCCTCCACACCATGCCTCTGTCTGCATTTATTCCACTGTCTGCCTCTCTTACTCGTCTGCAACACAACATTAATGTCAGAAGTGGGATGTAAGACCCGCAACTGGATTCTATGAAGCGGGTGAAGAATATGCCCTCATCCCTAGAACACATGAAGTGGGCTACTGAGCTCCAGGAAGCAATCTCCAGTATGCCGGAATGTAACCAGCGCTAAGAAGATGACAGAAGAACAACACCAGATAGGATTTAGCCAGCGGCATCCGATTGCTGGAGCTGAAAGAGACAGCTGCAATTATAGAAGCTGGCACAACGGAGTGGCAGGTGAAGGTCACAGCCAAGAAGGCTAAAGAGACCAGTGGGAGCTGGAGCAAGCAAAGCCAGTGAACCAGCATCAGATGGTCTAGGGCCCCTGGAGGGCAAGGGATGGAGCAGCCACCCCAAGCAGAGACGCTGGGCTTCTAAGGCCATGGGCCCAACCTGCTCTGCTAGTCCATGGAAGTAGGCAGCCAGCTGCCCCTAAAGCAGCCTGGCTATGCTTCTCCCCAAGTACAATGGGGAGGACATCACTGGTTATTCACTGGAGTTGCTGGAGGTTGTGATGGAGCGGAAAGTGAGGGACAAATTGCTTGCCATCATGGAACATGAGGCTCATTCCCTCAATAGGAAGCTGACGGGGAAGAGATGTTCTCAAAGCCAGAGATTCATTTTCCCCAAATGCAGAACAAATGCAATACAATTACCAAGGGTTTGAGAGTAATGTAATTTCAATTCTCTGTGTGTTCTGTACTTGTGGCAGAATTGACAATAAAGCTGACTTTGACTTTGACTTGACTTTGAACTGATTGCTTCAGCATTCTTGTAGCAGTACAATACACCAATGTTTGCCAACCAGGTCCTCAGGGAACCCCGGACAGTTCATGTTTATGCTCCCTCCCAGCCAATCGGGAACACCGAATTCCTGGTACAGGCGCTGGGAGCTGAGAGGAAGCAAAAATGTGGACTGTCTGGGATTCCCCGAGGACTGGTTTGGGAAACACTGCAATACACTGTCTGCACTTTATGCCTTTTTACACGAATTCTGATGCATTCCTGCAATTTGTACATACAAATATGATCCACTTCATAATACTCATAATGCCCCATGTAGAGAACGGATGTACAATATAACATTTACACTGCATCATACAGCATTGCCCTTCTTTTTTGCAGTAGTAATAACATTGCACTGTTCTGAAAGTAATTGTATACAGACAGTCCCCAGGTTAAGATTGTCGGCTTACAGACAACTCGTACTTATGAAAGGACTGCTGTAAAGCCTAATATATAATAAATTTGTGTTAAATACAATCATTTGTAATAACAAATGCATGCACTACTTGGTGATGCTCATGTCAGCTCGAGATACAGTGCCGTAAAGCACTGTATGTAGTTAGTAATATAATAATAATAAAAGAGTATATAAGATTATGTACTGTTATTTTAAGATTTTTTTATTGTATTTGGAAGTGTTTTATAAGTGTAGAAAGGTATATATGATATATATTATACTGTCTTGTACTAAGACAAACATTTGACTAACTGATGCTAAATAAGAACCATATGTACCTGTTCCGAATCATCTACAATTTTTGACTTAAAGACAGACGTAGGGAATGGATCTCATTCGTAACTGAGGGACTGCTTATATACACTGCCTGGCCAAAAAAAGGTCACCATTTAAATTTATATCAGCAAATACTTAAAAGCCAATGACTAGATCATTATTACAGCTCAGCAACATTATGCAGTTAACCAGTAAGTAAAGTCAGCTGAGTACCTGAATCTACTGAATGGCCAGGTTACACCTCCATCCATCATCAATGGATTTTTTCTTCCCTGTTGGCATGGGCATATTCCAGGACAAGGATGCCAAGATTCAATGGGTTCAAATTGTCAAAGAGTAGTTCAAGGAGCATGAGGAATCATTTTCACGTGTGACTTGGTCACCACAGAGTTGTGACCTTAACCTCATTGAAGGTCTTTGGGATGTGATGAAGGAGGCTTTATGGAGTGGTTCAACTCACTTGTCAATACAGGATCTTGGTGAGAAATGAATGCATATCTGGATGAAAATAAAGGATGAGATGTTGCATAAGCTTGTGGAAACAATGCCATGACAAATGTGCACCATAATCAAAGCTAAAGGCGGCCCCACGAAAACTTCAAATGGCGACTTTTTTTTTGGCCAGGCAGTGTATCTGCTCTAAATTGTTAATATTCTTTTCTTTAGTACCCATATATATTATTTCATACATTTTTTATGCCTCTTTCCTTACTGTAATTGTGTTTATCCCTTTTTCATCTGTATATCTTCTGCTAGCAAACCAAATGGATTTCCCTCCGCCAAGGGAATCAGTTAATGTCACGTCTGTCATTTCAAGTAAACTGTTATAGCTATTATTATAATGTTGATAAATACCAACATGTTAGTATTATATTTAATATTCCGCCATTGTACCTTTTATGTTAATAAGGTCAAACAAGACTCAGAAAGGTCAGAGCTGGAAGGATCTCTTCCAGGAGTTTTACGGCAACATGGGCCGTTACATTGATCATTACAGTACATTGAAGAAGGCCTGGGATCAGCTGAAGACATACCTCAGCCAAAAGTGCCCCAGAATGATCACCTCTCTGAAAGGTAGCTCAGCTAGGCTTCCGACACCCCTTCTAGGGCTATTCTGGCAGTACAGTATGTAATACTGTTCTGTAACATTGTTTATATTGGTTTGTAATAATTAAATGATTGGTAAATGATCACTTGGCAGCAGGATGTAGATAGATTTTTAATGCTGCATATTTTGAATACTTTATTTAAGTAGTTGCTGACAGCTAAATTACAGGTCATCTTGGCAGCTGTAGTCCCCCTAATATTGCCGTGTCCCTGTCACGGTGTGATCTGACTCTTGATTGGTGTTTTTGGGTTCTCTGTCAACAGAGGGCGCAAGTGAGGAGGACCTGGATGCTGTGGAAGCACAGATTGGCTGCAAATTGCCCAATGATTACCGCTGTTCCTTCCGAATACATAACGGACAAAAGCTAGTGGTTCCTGGGTATGAAAGAACTGATGCAATGCTAAATTTATTTGTGTGTGGTCCAGCTTACTGTTGAGTGTACTTCTCATTAATTTACTGTTAATTATTATGCACAATTTACTATCAGACTTAACGTATTCCATCATTCTCTTCTACTTACAGTTGATTCAGGGTGTACTGTTTACTGTAGCTGTACTGCTTGGTGTTTGCTAGCATGCTGCTAATTTATGTTTACTGTTTACAGATTGATGGGTAGCATGGCCCTGTCCAACCACTATCGCTCCGAGGATCTGCTGGATATCGAGACAGCAGCGGGCGGCTTCCAGCAGCGCAAAGGCATGCGGCAGTGTCTGCCTCTCACCTTTTGTTTCCACACAGGTCTGAGCCAGTATATGGCCCTGGACAGCATGGAGGGGCGCAGTCGCGGCGAGATCTTCTACCAGTGCCCTGTGAGTGCTCCCCACCAGTCAGCCCTCACGCTTGCCCCGTTGGCTGCCAAAAGCCGGCAAAACGCCTCGTGGTGCTGGCAAGGGACTTGATTTTAAATTAAAAGCTCTCAACCTCTTGGAGGCTTAAAATTTATTGCTCACGCGCCTCGCGCCGCCATCTTGGTGCATTGTCAGTCATGGTAATGGAGTACTCCTAGCACATCCGAGCAAGCAAGTCAACTCAAGTAGTATTCTCACATCAATTGTATCTTGTACACTGCATACGGTGATGTGAATTAATGTCATATAAAACATTATATAAAAGCACAATAAAATGAAATAAACACGTAAGATATAAATAGAAAATGAATATTACCAGATGTGACACATACACATTGAATGCAAAACACCAACACAAATGAAGCTGACTAAAATTTTGGAGGTTTAATTTCTTTATTTCTGGCTGGAAATGAGAACTGTAAAGAGAAAAATGCAGATGAAATATTTTAGTCTGTTCATGGGTAATTACAAGTATAAATCTCATGCTTATTCATCTTATATATTGTTTATCATTGTTTTTTTTTGTCATGTAATGGTAACATTAACCAGTTATGTTATTACTATTGTGGTTTGATCTTACATAAGTGAATGTGTTTTAAAGGTAAATTGCTGATTGATTAATTTTATTGTTTATTTCTTATCCCTGGATCTGTGGAACTGAACACATTGAAACACTAGTCATTTTGCCGTTATTTTTACCATTGACTAAGTGACCTCCACAATCGTAAAGAATCCTTTACCTTTCTCACAAGCACTGCTGTCGTTACAGCCAACAACAGACGGTACACAGGGAGAATCACACCAGACGGGAAACTATGCACCAATATGGCGGATGATTTAGGGCACCTTCAGTAAAGTTACATTACTGTCGGGGAGTGCCAGATAAATAAGGCTCCATTTCCCATTGTGAAACTGCATCGAAATGTGACTTTTCTCTCCTGTTTCATAGGATCAAATGGCACAAGATCCTTCTGCAATTGACATGTTCATTACAGGTGGGCTGTGAATTTCAGTGTGGTTCTTTTTTCATTACTATGGTTTAGGTGTTGGGGTATCACAGTGGTTAACACTGTCGCCTCACAGCACTGGGCCCAGGGTTTGAGTCTCCACCCTGTCTCCATGTGTGTGGAGTTTGCTTGTTCTCCCCGTATTATTGTGGGTTTTCCTCCAGACACTACGGTTCCCCCCCACAGTCCAAACACATTCCAAGGTGAACTGGAGTTACCAAATTGTCCATAGGCATGAATACTGTGTGTGTTTGCCATGTGATGGGTTGGTGCCTCATCCTGGGTTATTCCCTGCTGTATTCCATGCTAGACTGAATAGGACAAGCAGGTACAATGGGTGGCTGGGTGTTTGTGTTGTCGGGGAGGCACAGTATTTCATGGGTTTTTATAACAATGCAAGAACACTCAGCGCAAAGATTCCGTCCCTGTGTGCAGGTCTAGCAGGTGTGTGGTACCTGTACTGGTTTCTGTGTGGTGATTGGCTGCTTCTGTCCCTGCATCCTAGGGTCCAGCTTTACGGAGTGGTTTACCTCATACGTTCACAATGTGGTAACAGAAGAGTACCCCATCATCCGGGACCAAATCTTCAGGTTTGACTGGTTTTCTGGGGCATGCCACTTACATAGTATGTTCCTGGTCACTCTTAGACAACCTCATGCCATGTGAAATTAAATGGAGACTCACCTCACACCCTTTCTGCCTGAATAAATGCTTCTCCTTATATCCCATATGAAACTGTCCCAAGCATACTGAAGACTGACTTCCATGAAGTCGTTAACAATAGTTTTGCACAGCTCACTGAACACTTTAAGTGTGTTCAGTCATTTCACTAAGTAGAACAGTTCTTTGCTGGTGCAGGTACATTTAACATACAGATGGAACTGAGGCTTTCGGATTTGGTCTGCAACCTCTTGGAATTTCTCACTCTGTGTCCTCAGGTACATCCATGATAAGGACTGCGTGGCCACCACAGGGGACATCAAAGTGTCTGTATCTACCTCCTTCCTGCCGGAGCTCAGCTCTGTACACCCCCCACACTTCTTCTTCACCTACAGGATTAGGTAAAATGGGGGCTGCTACTTTCAGTTCCCTGCTGATTGCTAACCCTAACACTAACCATAAATAACCCTAACACTAGTTTGGACAGTAATGGCAATCCTAACCATAACCCTAACCGAGACTGAAAACCAATGCCTAAACCTAACCCCTAATACCAGTGCTGATGTGATTTGTGGGGTGTCTGAGCAGTCAGAGATTCACATTGGTGTGGTTTCTGTATCAAAATTTTCTCTAAAATGTTGAATATTAGTTACTATGAAGAGAGCAAGAAGTGCAGATGGAGAGTGGTGTATGGCTCAGTGGGTTAATCCATCCAGGTTCTTTTCTGTCAATCCAAACCATTAAAATGAGGCTGACTGGTCAATGACAGGGCTTTCCTAGCCTGCAGTTGGATGTAGTTTTGCTTCTCATAGCAAACATCTGGCTTTTCAGTGTTTTGGGGGCTTTGGTGAGTCTCAGTGCAGAGATGGGACCCTGGAGATGTCCAGGTAGCGAATGCAGATTTCTCATCAGAGATGGAGACGAAGGGCAGCTGCTTGACACGGGTTCCCACGTTTCCCCAGAATCGAGATGGCAAAGAATGCCCATCCGGAAAACATCTGCCAGCTGGACACGCGATACTGGAAAATCACCAATGCCAATGGCAATGTGGAGGAAGTTCGGGGGCCTGGCGTTGTGGGTAGGGAGCCGCTCGGATTCAGTGCCGCAGATAATGCATGTTTTTTTTAATCTTTACTGGTAGTTTAGTTAAAATTAAATCCAGGCCTTATTGTACAATACATGACTTGAATCAGATAAAAATGTAGAATCTGCTATGTTTGTCCAAGCATAAGGAGTTTTGTGCCTTCTTGGTAAATATGTGAGACACAGCGAGCCATAGCATGTGAGGCTGAACCACTTGTTGACTTTGGATGCAGGTGAGTTCCCGGTGATGTCGCCAGGGAAGGTCCACGAGTACGCCAGCTGCACCACCTTCTCCACCACCTCTGAGCACATGGAGGGCCACTACACCTTTCACCGCCTGAAGAACAAGGAGGAGGAGTTCAACGTCACCATCCCTCGCTTCCACATGGTCTGCCCCCCATTCCGTGTGTCCGCTGTGCGGGCGGTAAGTGTCCTAGGAAGGAGTTCTTCTGTGTGTGTTTTTGTCTGTCTGTGTATCAGTCTCTGTCCTGACGTAGCCTGTCAGCTGGTTTTCCACACATAACTCTCCATGCTCCTCAGACCCTTGTCTTCCTTCCAGCACTTGATCTCTCCGCTCTGTTTAGATATTTCGTCAGCAAGGCTCAGTTTCTCCCACCTCTCCCCAGCAGGGTTCCACAAGCAGCCTCTTGGGGCCCCCCTTTGACGAAAACTCGTCAGACACGGACGACTATGAGGAGGGGCAGGGCCTGAACATCCCGCCGCCTAGTGGGCGCTGCCCACGCCATATCTGACACAGCTCTCCAGGGCAGGAGCGGGGGTGGTGGGGGAGGGGGTAAGGGGCCTGAAAACCTCTTCCTTCACTGTTATTGATTAGTAAGCCTTTTGATTAATAAATTTTCTTACTGTGTTATAAGAATGGACATCCTGGGACCACTGACCCTGTGGACATTTTCCTTTGCCCGGTGGCCTCTTCACTTGATGTTTTTCTTCAGTTTATTCCATATTTTTCTAGAGTATCAAAAGCGCTGTGCATTGCCACTGAAATTCTTGTACTTAAATATTAAGAATCAGTGTACAGTAGTGGATCCAAGGCAGTCTAGATTATTCTTATATAACTGAAGTGAAAATGCTGACAGGAGTGATTTCCAGGGGTTTAAAATATTCTGCACGGAGTGTCTTTTGTGCTGCCAGGATGTTGCCGTGGTGATTAATGAGCGCACGTTTTTCATTGGCAGTTATACGGACCAGTCGCGGTCCTGTCTGAAAGCCCATCTGATGGTAACATTCTCCATGGATAGATGTTAATGGGGATGCTTTGCGAGCCGGGCAGGAGAGCACTGCGGAAAGCGACTGAGGCTCTCACTGGCTGTCTACTCCCTCTTGTGATGGTGTGGTACCATGCTTTGTAAGCTGTGCACTTTCATTGAACAGAACCAGTACAGGACCCATCCAGCTTCCCTGCCCACAACATCTATTGATTTACATAGCAGCCTTCACCCCCTTTCCCACTCCACTTGGCCCCTCTAGCTCAGCTCACTACACATAACTAATCGTTTCTATGGTGTGTCGACCATGGTGATGTTTTCAGTCTGAAATTCAGCAATGACAGTCTGTCCGCTAACAGTCTCCATGGGTACTGAGAGCAGGCCAGG